AAAATGCCAGTAAAAATAGAATTTCATCACAAATTAGATAAATTTAGAAACATTCTACAGACAAAACAAAAACCAAAACAAATGCAAAATAAGACAAACAAAAGCATGAAACATAAACATAGGTAAAAAGCGATTTTAAAGAAGCATACCAAAACCAATAATGGAAGATCTATGAATGGATCCTGGTAATTCTTGTTATGTTTTTCAGAGTTCCAAAATGAAAGAAAAGACATAAAAGCTACCTTGCTACCACGTCATGCCATCTCTGCCATGAGGAATCTATCCCTTTGTAAACATAAAGTAAAAATCTGTGTTCCTGAAGGTTTTTTTTTTTTTTGGGGGGGGGGGTAGGGGGGGGGGGGGGTGGGGGGGGTGGGGGAATGGGAATGACAACAATAGAAAAGTAATATAAGGCTACCCCATAAACCTCAAAAGATAACTCTGATTATTGCATATAATCAATCAAGATTAGGTCATATTGGCTGAAGTTGGGTGACCCTTTAATAACTCAACTTGACTGATACCAACATAAAACAGACAAAATGGAGCAGTGAGATGGTTCAGTGGCTAATGATGCTTCAGGTCAAGCCTGCGTTCCGTCGTTGGAGAGGACCGACTTCCCAACTCACCTTCTGACTTTCTTATGGGCATATGCCCACACACATACGCACACAAAATAAATAAAAACAATTACTTTTAAAATAAATAAAAAGAGAAAACAAACATCCAGTGAGAATGCCAAAGACAAAGACTGAAGTGACACACCTGGAACAAGAGGAATCATGACCAAAGTCAAGAGCAAAGGAGAATTCTACCTAGATTTTTCAGACAGAGCATTAATCCTGCTGATGCTGTAATTTTAGAATCCTAGCCATCAGATTTGACAAAATAACTGCTGTTTTATTTTAGGCAGTTTCTAAAAGTCTTATGGCAGAAAACTAACACAGGAGAATAGTTTCCTCAATAGGGTAAGTAGTATTTATGTGAAAAACCCCAGTGGCAACCCAATGATGACAAAAACTGTCTATCCCTCAGGTAAGAAATACAACAATGGTACTGTTTTCACACTCAGATTCACCAGCGCATTAGAAATTCAATAAAAAGAAACAAGGCCATATAAAATATAAAGAAGTAAAACTGTACCTACTAGAATACATACAAAAAACTAACAGCTAATAAAAAAATTCAGCCAAATTACGGGATCAAAATTTAAAACACTGTATATGGCAGTATTTCAATAAAAAAATCCAGAAGTAGTTAAATAAATGAAAAAATTTAGTTAAAAAACCAAAAAACAAAACCAAGCATTAGTGAATTGAAGAAAAACAATACCGTTTATGGCAATACTATCAAAATAATAGGTAAAATGTAATCCATATTAAAAGAAAAATAGTAGTGACAATTAAGACAGAAAAGCATACAGAACAGAAGTGTTAGTTAGCAATGATGTAAACAGTGTTGACCTTTAATACATTGTTAGTAAGATGCAGAAAAATATCCACTATGGAAAATAGTCTGACAGTACCGTAAAAATATTAGTTACTAAATGACACAGCAATTCCATTCTTCTAGGAACATGCTGAAATAATAGAAAACACTTGAACAAATCCTTCTATACTACAGTATAGAACCTGAATGTATCTAGCAAATAATAAAGGAGACAAAATCTGGCAATCTCACTGATACATGCTACAACACAGTTGAATCAAAAAAAAAAAAGTTAAGTTAAAGAAATTTGATAAAATCTTCATATATTATATGCCTAAACTTAAATAATATATCCAGGATAAATAAATGAATCCATTGGGACAGAAAGCAGATTGGTAAGCTGGAGAAAGTAGGGTACTCTTATAAGCATAAGGTTTTCTTTAGCATTACAAAAGTGTTCTGAAACAAGATGAGGAATGGCCTACAATACTTAATGCAATACGCATTACTGCATTACTGGGTTGTATATTTTAATATGTTTTTTTTTTGTTTTTTTTTTTTTGTTTTTGGTTTTTGGAGACAGGGTTTCTCTGTGTAGCCCTGGCTGTCCTGGAACTCACTCTGTAGACTAGGCTGGCCTCGAACTCTCGAACTCAGAAATCTGCCTGCCTCTGCTTCCCAAGTGCTGGGATTAAAGGCGTGCGCCACCACCGCCCGGCATATGGTTAGTTTTAAACTCATGAATTTTACCTTAATATACTGTAAAAAAAAAAGTTATTTGATGTTGATAAGTATGATTCCGTATTTTCATCTCTAGTTTTAGAGCCTTTCTTTTGCATTGTATGTCAACATTTTGAACTTTTCTTCTCACTCTAAATGTTGATCCTGAATCCTACTAACATAAAGTTTACATTAATATTTATATACTGACAATCACCAAGATAGCATCTAAAAACCAAAACACTTTCCTAAGCTCTATAGTCACGTATCCAACAGAAACTTGTCTTTTACCTGGACATTCCACAGGCACATAGTTGCAGCAAACAAACCACTTTGAAACCATTTAACATGTTTTACTGTGATTCTATTTGCATTAATATGGATATTACCATATGGATTAACTGCATGAAAATTAACCTCCCACAGCAAACAATTAAAAAGTGGGGTTAAAAAAAAACCTCAACATTTTAAAAGTACTAAATCCCCAGCTCAAAACTGTTTACCCATAGGGAAAAGTAAGTGAGATAAACTATCTGAATGCCCCAATTTACTGCCTGGATAGTCTTCAGACGACAGGGAAAGGAGGTGGAAACCTAAGAGCTGTGACAGTCCAGCAGACATAGATAAGAGGTCAGAAAGACTGATGTCTACTCTGTGGGGCACAGCACCAGAAATGGAGAGCCACAGTCAAGAGCCTCACACATGTATGGAAAATTCTCTTCAAACTAGAAGAATATTCCACATGTATGACAAGTTCCTATAGCCAGAAACTGCAAGTTATTCTGAAAATATCTTTTAATAAACAGTGAGCTGAGTGAAATCTCCTGCTACAGTAAATAATTCCTACTATGTATCAGACTAAACAGTAATCTGAATCTTTAATATTTTAGCAAATTTAATCCAGCAATATATAAAAAGTATAAAACATTAAGAACCAGTGGTATCTACCTCAGAAAGTCAAGATTAGCTTACTTGAAAACCAAACAACCAATACTTGAAACTGAGTAAAAAAAAAAAAAAAAAAAGTTATAATCATTTCTAAAGATGTATAAAAACTTTGTCATAAAATTAACATTCAGCCAGACTGAAGGCTTTTTATCAAAACTGAACTCTGCAGATATGTTATCTCCTTCATATAGAATATCCTCATTTACACGGCCCTAATGCAAGTTCCTCCATTTATCTTAAAGAAATTAAACAGCATATGAAAACTTGGGAGTCTCATGTGGATGTAGGATACGAAGAATCTAGTTATAGTTTCTCCTACTTTCTAGTGAACTGACCCAAAGTAACTACAAGTACGTGTATTAACAGTTCAAGGTCAGAGTAGGATACACAGAATTCCTTCCCTAAACAAAACAACAAACAAATGTCATATTCACAAGGCCTAAATATATTACTACAGAAAATGAGAAATCATTAACTCCAAAGCAGAGAGCTAATATTAGAAAAATCTTTGCATTTGTTTTTCCTGTCTTAAAGCCAAATAAGAAAATTGTCTAAAACTCACTTAAGTGCTTAGTGAAGGAAAAATTAAATGCAGACCAAATGTAGACTCTGTCTTAATTATACATACATACATACATATATATATATATATATATATATATATATATATATATATATAACTATATATAGCTATATATATGTCTCTCTCTCTGTCTCTGTCTCTCTATCTATCTATCTATCTAAATAAATTATGCTGGCAAATAACAGTATTTTTCCATATTGTAACCCTTACTAAATCCATAAGTCATTCCTCATCAAATAGATGAAGCAGTATGTACAGAAGTAAGCTAAGAACAGGTCTAAAGGATAAGGCATTCATGAGTAAAACTGAGCATGATTATTTAGATAAGACATGGCTATAGTAGTTTTTCAAAGACAAAAAACAAAACAAAACAAAACAAAACAAAAACCAAAAAGGAACAAAACAACCACAAAACCCAATGCTTATACATATCCAAAAGTGTTACAATAAGGCTAAAACTGATGGAACTTATGTTTTTAAACTTTTTATAACTATAGTTCATCTAATCACTCAGGCTCATGGTTAACTTGAGTTCATTTAAAATATGCTCAATAGCCAGGTATGTTGGCAAATGCCTTTAATCCCAGAACTCAGGAGGTAGGTAGACACAGGAGGATCTCTGTGAATTTAAGGATAGACTGGTTTATAAAGAAAGTTCCGTAACTATAAAGTGAGACTCTGTCTCAAAAACAATAAATAAAATAAAATACACTCAAGTATAGCTTTTCAAATCTATTCTCCAGCTCTTACTAGCTCCACTCTCAGTTTTTATGTTTATTATATTGCAACAAAACAAACACAAACTTGTTTTTAAAACTGTGAGGTATGTATACATTCCTTATAAACATAATTTGTACCATATAAAATATCAAGTGATAAGTGCTGAATAAATAATAACACCACACAGAATGAACTGCCATTTATAAATGTATAATTATGGCTTTAACTTTTAAAGAAAATTATCCATGTGAGGAGTAAGTAACATAAATAGTATCAAGTTTAAAATATTAAAGATATTTTAATTAGTGACTCAAATCACAGTAGCACTCTCTTAATATGATGAAGTTATTATAAATTCCAGAATTAGGTAAGTTTAACACCTTAGCTTTCAACGCAGCTATTTATTATGTTCGAGAAAAGATTTTCACTACCGAGTAACAAAAGTTCAAGTATGAGATAGCTACCTTCAGAGTGACTAAGAGGACACTAATGAGAATGCTAAGGTTCAAATACAGTTTTAACATATCATATTTAACAAACTATTATTGTAGCAAAAATGAAAATATAAATCAAATCTCATGTATTGATTCTTCTAGCCTACCTGTGTCTTCAATAAATTCCACACATTTTTCAACAAATAGTGGTATAGGCTTCTCAGCTGTAACCAGATCCTGGAGGGGCATCCCAAAGTAATTACTTTCCCAATTTCTACGTGTTGGTGGGTTGAAGGTCTTAGTTTTCTTTTTCTGCTACAAGAAAACATATTCAAATTAAAACTATTAATGTTTATCTTCTCCAGATTATTACCAAACAATGTAAATAAGTACTTTGGATCAAAAGAAGCTTAGCATGTATTTAAAAGCTACATCCAACCCAAATGCCTCGTAATATCCCTAATAAATTCTGCTAGATAAAAACTGAACAATGGAAACAAAAATGAACAGGGGTTGGGGGGAGCTGACTATAAGAATATGGTGGTCTCTTTGGAAAGAAAGTCTAGAAGTTAGAAAAATTAAATAGCAAGAGATTGGGAAAAAAGTAATTTCTCAGTGTTAACACAAAAGACTAAAAGAGATACCAAATGTCCTTCCTCATTTTATATGTGGTCTATCAATTTTATTTAGCCTTTGAGGTAGATTGTGGTTTTGTCTAACTTTTATTTGTAAGAACAAATTATTCTTGATTGATTATAAATGAGGCTATCTGACTCCATAAACTTTTAATTGTCACCACCAGCCTTCTTTCCCATTCTTTGCTATCTCTATCACCTTTACATTTTAACATCTAGACATTTGTCTAAAGAAACATACAAAACATCTCCAGAAAAGGAAAATAATTAAACAAGAATTTCAAAATCTATTATCAGAAAGAAAATGGGTTCTTCAGTAGGAAGTGAACATATCAAAAACATACCGAACACTGTCTAAAATCCAACTATTCAGGGGATTCTAACTCAACCTTTCTGGATTAGTTATTATCTCGGTAGATGATTCTGTTGCAAACACCCAGCTGGGGATCTCTGAAGAATAAAGAATGAAGTTTTCAAACATAAAAGTTAGAGCACTTGACACCCCAGATTCTTTCGGTCTAATTTTATCTACAATTTTTTTATTCTCCCTGAAAAAGCAAACCAAACAACCAGACAAAAACTAATAACCACAGCCTCTCCTTCATTCACAAACCTATTCATTTAATCCATTAGTACTGTTGCTGACTTACAAAGAGGAGAAAAGTGGAAGGAGTAGCAGGAGAGGAAGTACAGATACCATCATCAGACCTTATGCCCCCAAATAGCTCTCATTTTCCCCATTCTTTCTACAGGGAACTTGTTTTAGTCTCTAGACTAGATATCTTGACTACTCTAGTCCTTTCCATTTCAGGTTCTTTCACCCAGCAAACTGCCAGAGTTCATAAAAATCGAACTTTCAAATCCTCAGTCACTAACACTTTCTGGTAAGAAAGAATATGCACCTCTTGTTAAGTACAGACTATTTACAACAGGTCATTAGACTGTTCTAGTACAAAATCTAACTTGCCTATAATTTTATTCTCCCAATGACCATCACCAAAACAGCTATGTGCATGGAAGTAGAAGAGACTGTAACTTAAAAGGTAGATAGAGGTAAAAGTGGCAATGCTCTTTTTTTCTGGAAGAAGTGAGGTGCTTTTCAAGCTACAAACCAATAACTGTATTAGAATTTGAATGGAAAATAAAATCTTTAGCAAAACTGATTTTGTCTGTTTATAGAAATAATGCATACTGCCAAAAAAAAAAAAACCCAACCCTGTAACTTAATCAACATCAATGCCTAGAATCTAGTAGCATGAACAGAAAAGAAGAAATGAAGAATTCTAAGTCTGCAAAACCAAAAAGTTATTATTTAAGAGTAAGGCATCTGGAATTGGACAGATGGCTCAGTGGTTAAGAGTATACTGCTCCTACAGGACTCCAGTTTGGTTCCCAGCACCTATGCTGGATTGCTCTACAAGGACCTGATAGTTCTCGCATTCACGGATACCTGTACTCATATGCACATACCTATATGCATGAATAGACATGGGACACACACACATACATATAATTAAAAATAATTTTTAAAGTCAACTAACTAGTTATGACTTAATTGTTCCAATTCACTCTTAAGAAATACTATTTTTATTATTGACATTTCAAAATCAATTTAAACTCTGAGATGACTGAGATGCCCCTGAGGACAGGAAGAGGGAAAAAAAATAAAGCCTTCACTTTGTCTTAGAATGCCTAAAGATTTCACTAAATTTGGTGGTTAATAAAAGGAAGCAGGCCAGATATGATGGTGTACACCTTTAATACCAGCACTTAGGAGGCATATAGGCAGGTGGATCTCTGTGAGTACAAGACCAGCCTGGTCTACAAAGTGAATCCAGGCTATCCAGGTCTCTGTTACCCAGAGATCCTGTCTTGAAAAACCTTAATTAACCAACAAGCAAATAAGTGGAAGTAAAATAAGGTAGATTACCTACCTCAAACGTATATTTCAGGGCCAAAAGTTAATTTTGAAATTTAAACAGATTTGGTGCTAGTAATCTAATACGATAAACAGGCAATCTTATAGGAAGGACTTTTTAACCAACTCTAAAAGGGACACTTGAATCCAGGTCTGCTCTAATAATCACTATAGGGGAGGAGGTTAACCTATGTGATCAGTAGCTTTCCTAATGATGCCACAAAAAAGTTCACATGCTGAAAAGTCCTTTGGGGAAGGGCATATGGGTATACATCTGTGACTTTAGCACTTGTGAGACTGAGGCAAGACTGATGCTAGTTCAAAGTCAGTCTGGGGCCACAAAATGAACTCAACCTAGGGTATGTAGATAAACTGTTTACAAAAGAAAAGAGAAAAGCTTTAGATCAGCTATATCTTTCGAAGAACTTAAAGCAAGAAAATCTGTAACTCTTACTGTCTTTTAGATAAAGATCAAATAAGGAATAAGGTAATGAAGAAATGTAAAGAAACTTAATTTTTTGGCAGCAGCAAAAAAGAAAAGAAGAAAGAACAAGCAAACCCACTATGACAAAAACATTAGAATAAACTATTAAGGACCATCACTCCTATTACATATACCCAAATACATGGGGCTTGGTACCAATTACTTTAAAAAAAGAATTCACGTATGTGTACTACATTTACATTCCCCCCTCTCACCTTCTCCCTCCAGTTTCCTCTCTAGAAACACGTCCCCTACTCTCAAATTCATGGCCTTTTTTCTTTATTACTGTTATACACCTGTGCATAGATATACAAATTAATATGTAGCTAACAATCTTCTGAGTCTTTTTTCTACCTACCTATCTCTCTATCTCTCTCTCTATCATCTACCTATCTAATCGACTTCAGAGTAAGATATGTGCATTATGTCTATGCCTGTTCTTGGGCAAGTTAGCTGTCATACACTTGCGTTGGTTTCTAATATGCTGTGTGGAGTGTATAAAAGTTTTGCTTACTACATAGGCTTATTGGAAGGTTAACTCACTGTTTATAGTGAAGGCACTCAGCAGCCTGTAGTAGTTCCTTACTACTGCTATGACACATGATCATACCCTTGGTAGCTTTCAGCATACCTCTGTTATCTTAAAGTTATGAAGGTCAGAAATCTAAAATGGGTTTCACGAAAATTCTGGAAATTTTAGAGGAGTAATCCATTTCATCTTCTGAGTCTTTTTTAGTTTTGTTCATGTGTGTAGTCTTAGGGCTGACCACTTGGTATTAGATAACCAATTAGGAGGTCCTTCACTGGGAAAGGCTGATTTCCCCTCTCAGTCATTAACTGCCTGTTGCTCTTTATATAGAAGTAGAGTTGACTCTCATCTTTCTTCTTAAAAAAAAAAAAAAGTTTCTCTTGTTATTAGTTGCTGTTCTAAGATACTGGGTAGACTTTTTTATGCAGACATCATCCATACAAGCTGGGTCCAACTTTCCTTCCACTCACATGCACTCAAATTTGTCCCTATCACCCTTAGCATGCTTCTAAATATCTTATACTAAGTATCAACTACTGCTTTGCAATGGCTAGTTTTCAGTTCTCATCTTCCTTGACTTCTCAACCACTCTAATCTTGCCTCATGGAATTCTTTTCAGTGTGCTCTGTAATAATGGTATGAATGACTGACTCATCCTTTATTACCTTCTCCCTCTTGGTAATTATAAACTCACCCTCTTGGTAATACCATCCACATACTCCAATTCACCTTTCTCCTGAACTTTAAAGTAATATAGAATAACTTTATTCCAAAGTCTAGAGACTTTTTAACATGTCCAAAATTCCTGATGTTTTTCATAAAATAAACTGTATCTATACATGTCATTAGTTGGCAATTCCATCATTTCAAGATGCTTGAGCTAAAAATACTGAAGTCATATGTTGTGGAATTCTGTCCTCTGGGCATGGTTATCTATCTTTGATTACCCACAAAAGACTTCTGTAACACTGAGCCACCTAACATTCTCTTGTAGGAGTAGGCTTATGAAGTGGGCCAAAAGGCAGCCCTACAAAGGACTTATCAACGAAAGCAGCTCATCCCACCTTCAGGATACATAAGTAGCTAACATTTCTGGGATTTAGGGGGGTTCTGATAGTGTAACTGTCTGTGCTTACACAAGTAACCCCTCCATCCCATCTGTGCTCCTGTAAGTAAACCCAATTAAGCTCATTAGCTCACAAAACTGGGATTGGGTGGAAGCATTTCTTTGGGCTACTTTCTGTGCCATAGCTGGGGTTTGTTCATGTCTCTCAAGGAAAAAAATATTCAACATAATCCGTGATCTCTTTCTTTTCCTCCCACATCTTCTAGTTGCTAAGCAAATGTTCAGAAATACATGTGATTTTTAAAAACCATCTTTACAGTTACCTCCTTGAGTTTACAAAGCTACCATCATATCATGTACTTGGATTACTATAATGACTGCTTCGACTGCAATTCTGCAATTCCCTATACAGCTAAGCCATTCTCAAGAGAGCAACCAGAACAATGCTGGATCCCCAACTAATTGCCTGTAAGCCTTGCAATGCCATATATTCCATCCTTATACATACATATATACGTTTTCTCTTGACCTCACTCTTCACTATTTTCATTATTTATTCCTTCCAGCTACACGACTTCTTTGCTATTTTTACATGCCAACAATGCTTTTGCATTAACTCTTCCCTTTGTATCCCCACTCTAAGTCTTCAGAAGATTCACTGATTAAAGACAAAAATGTGATAA